GCCAACCTGTACATGGAGGAGGTAGAAAAGAGAGCCTTGACGTCCTTTTCAGGGACACCACCAAGTCATTGGTTCAGGTATGTTGACGACACCTGGGTTAAAATTAAATCTCAGGAAGTCCAACATTTTACTGACCACATCAACTCTGTGGATAAATACATCAAGTTCACACGAGAAGATGTAAAAAATGGCAGGTTGGCTTTCTTGGACTGTGAGGTCTCAGTCTCTGATAGAGGACATTTGCAAACTGAGGTGTACCGCAAACCCACCCACACAGACCAGTATTTGCAGTTTGACTCCCATCACCCTTTGGAGCACAAGTTAGGAGTCATCAGGACTCTGTACCACAGAGCAGACAGCGTCCCCACTAGCTCAGGAGCCAGGCAGAAGGAGAAATCCCACACAAGACAGGCTCTAGAGCAATGTGGATATCCTAACTGGGCCTTCCTGAAAGCAGAGAAGAAACCCAAACAGGACTCCAGTCAGCCATCAGGTGAAAAGGAGGAACCCAGACCCAGACCAGTGGTCATTCCAGATGTTGAGGGAGTATCAGAGAAACTGAGACGTTTATTTTCTAAACAAAACGTCCCAGTGGCTTTTAAACCCCAAAATACATTAAAGACTGGTTCATCCCAAAGATCCAGTCCCCCGGCACAAACAGAGTAATGTTGTGTATGTTGTTCAGTGTCAGGAGGGTGATCAGTCTTACATCGGGGAAACTAAACAGCCACTGGCCAAAAGGATGGACCAGCACAGAAGATCAACATCATCAGGCCAGGACTCTGCGGTCTACACTCATCTCCAGGTCAGAGGTCACTCTTTCAGGGATGAAGATGTTCACATCCTGGACAGAGAGGAACGATGGTTTGAGAGAGGAGTAAAGGAGGCCATCTTTGTGAAAATAAATCATCCATCATTAAACAGGGGTGGAGCCTCCTGGTTCAACTGTCCCCCTCTTACAATGCTGTGATTGCTAGTATCACTCAGCCCTCTGTGAATAGTAAACAGCCATCAGGTGCTAATGATCCATTGTTAGGCTGATGGTCCTTCTTGAGCATGTGATCAGCTGGTTTTGGTTGTCAGCAGCATAACTGGTTGATCCACTCTGAGAAGGTGCTATTTAAGAGACTGAGCTGAATACAGCACCTCAGACTGAGGAAGTCTCTCGGATGAGAGATGAAACGTTTCTATATTTTTTTGCTTTGTTTTGTTTTTTGAATGTCCAGAGGACCAGGTTGAACTTTTTTGGAAGGTCTAATGAGTCTAAAAAAGTTAAATCTGGTCCTCTGGACATTCAAAAAAAACAAAACAAAGCAAATCAACAAAAAACTCAGTCTCAGTCTCAGACTGAGGAAGTCTCTCGGATGAGAGATGAAACGTTTCTACATTTATTTGTTGATTTGCTTTGTTTTGTTTTCTTGAATGTCCAGAGGACCAGATTGAACTTTTTTTAGATTCTTTTACCTGGATTATTGAGCATGCATCAGGATAAGGTCTAATGAGGTTTAAAAATCATTAATACTGTTTCACAGTTGATTTAAATGAGTGGTTCACTTCAACATTTAGAAATGGTATGAACTAAACACACTTTTGATTATCAAGATATCTTAAAATAGTAATGATAATGTAAAAAGAAGAGTGTTCTTTCAATTGATTAATTCAGGATACAATTAAATAGTCTCTTGACGAGATAATTTGTATTTCTGGATTCAAATCAATGAAATAACAGTTCCTGTCCCCTGAAGGTCTTCAGAGACAGATTGATGTCGGAGGCCTAGTTCACTACAATGAGATTAAAGTCATAATATTACGAGAATAAACTCTTAATATGTCCTGTGTTTGGCTCACACCTGCTGTGGACAGCCTCCAATGAGAGTCACAGTGTTTATGAATTACTCCACGGTCACTTTTGTGTCACTGTTTCTGAACTATGCTTCCATCAACATTATGTCACAACTAAATCCATCAATGCAGCCATTAATTGCAATGCCATACAGCTTCAGTTTATCATAAGAATCCATATGCCACAGTGCGTTGGGCCCCCTGCTGTTGTACTGCCAACATCAACATTCATCATCTTACCTCAGTTGTAAGACTGATTTTTCATGTCAGAGTTCTGATAATATTACGAACTTATTCTGATAATATTACGAGTTTATTCTTGTAATATTACAAGTTTATTCTGGTAATATTACAAGTTTATTCCGTTATTATTATGAATTTATTTTCATAATATTATGACTTTATTCTCATATTGTTTCTACTTTATTCTCACAATACTGCAACTTTATTCTCGTAATACTATGACTCAATTCTCGTTCCTAATGTAATTTTTCGTTTTAGCATGGCCCTGAAGCTCCGTTGTACCATTCAGACAGTTTTATAAAACATGTTTTATTATTACATACATTAAAGATCAGAATCAGAATACTTTTTATTATCCTTGCACAGTACTACAACAAAAATATTTTGACAAGATTTGTCAGTGTTTAAGTTTATAATCTTGCTCTTTTCAAATGGAGTTCAGTTAGTGGAGTACTCAAGAAGTCAGTATAGCTCCTTTCACATAACGGTTCTGTACATCAGTGGAGTCGGCCATGTCTCATAAATGAACATTATGGAACCAGAGGTGTGGACATGGAGCACAACATATAAAATGTGTTGGACATGTATTCTAAACCTCTGGCTGGTCACACAGACAGTCTTTCATCACTACAACATACCATCAAGATGTGAAGCCTGTTTACAGTGAGATAAACTGATCGCTGCAGTGCTGTCACCATGTTTGATGACTCAGAGGCATAACAACAGTTGGTTAACTTCAACACCTACGCACCTTTTTATGTTTTTTTTTCAGAAATCACACTGAAATGTTAATAAATCATCTCATTCTTTGACAAACTGATTTGAGGTGAATTTTTTATTTTGAGAAATTGTAAAGAACATTTCACAGGAAATAAATTTAACCACTGCAGAGCAAAATGCATCATCTTAAACTCCAAACTTACTGTTAGTTCAAGTAAATTATATAATTCCCCGCCCCAATCTTTTCACTTTTGCATGAGGCAGTTGTGTTTTTTTTTTAATACTTTTATATAAACTGAACAGAAATACTTTTTCATTTGTTTTGATATGCTTACTGTGTACTGCAGCTACTAAAATATCATATCAGTGTATCATTGTCTTCTGTTTTGTAATCCTCGTCAATATTAATGTTTCTTTTTTTTGAGAATCATCTGTTCTTTTTGTATTGGAAGAAAAATTAATAGTGTTTTGATTTAGAAAAAAAGGACAATATAAGCAACTTTCTCGTGCAAAAATGACATGATATGAAGATTTCTAACTCCATACAAACATTCAGACTGCTAGGACAAGTTTGAATTTGAGTCATTGTAGATATAAACTTTACTCTAAATAGCCTTAGCATGACTTCCAATTCTCTAAACTTGTTCTCCCAACACTGGTCCTTGTGGAACACCATCCTGCATGTTTTCGTTGTTTCTCTGTTCCAACACACCTGATTCAGTGGTTTAATTACTTGCCAAGTCCTACAGAAGCCTGTTAATCACCTTTTCATTCAAATCAGATGTTGGAGCAGAGGAGCAACTAAAACATGCAGGATGGTGTTCCTCAGGGACCAGGGTTGGGAACCACTGCAATCACTCTAGTTGCTCTTGTCTACAGATAAAATACTGACCATACTGAGTCCATAAAAAAAAACAACAACTTATCATTTATGTAATTTATATGCCCCTTTATTATAAATGTCAAGATTTAGTACTGGTACAGTATATAGGTTTAATTCTTCAGTCACTTTGCAACATATTTTGATGTCAGTAACACATTTATGGCTCAAAATCCTTTTTTATCAGAGTTTTTATAAAAAAGAAAAAAAATGTTATCTCTGAAACACTAATGTGGAAATTGTAATATCATTGTTTAAAATATAAAATTGTATTGCCATTTTAAAAGCAAATTGGGCCAGATTTTACGTTGTAGGGTTTGCAAACAATACTTTCATAATCAGTTTGTAAGAATTTTAGTATGTCTCAGAAAGGTAGAGTCAAGTTCATTCAATATCATCTTTGTTCACATTTAACCATGTCAGAAAGGTAGCTAAACAAAGTAAATGTACTAAATTGACCACATTTTAAAACATTTTTATTTCAAAGTATTGGTCTCCCAAAATTTAAATGTGTCCCTTCACATTTGTGTTTTTCTTTCCGTGTGTCTACGTTGTGAAAGAGTAGTGGTTAAAGCTATTCTTAAAGTGATCCACCCCTCCTGTGTTTCTGCATCCTCATAGGACAGGGAGGGAGAGCTAGCGCTGATTGACAAGCTTCTGGTCAGTCCCCAGCTGTCGTCGGCAGAGTTCCAGGAATGGAAGCGAGCCTATCAGGACCTGTTCACTCAGGAGCCAAACTCAGCCACCGAATCCGAACCAGCCGATCCCGGGCCTCCCCTGACCCCCTCGCTGTCTCACACACACTCCTACATCGAAACGCACGTCTGACGTCCAAAAACGCACACCTAAACCCAAATCTTCTGATTCTGAATAGAGCTCAACAAAGTGCTGATGGTTTTGTACCTGCATTTCAGTCGTGATCAGAAAACAAAAGTGTTGCAAAAAGGTTTCATACGGTGACAGACTGAGCCAAACAAGAGCAGAACATGCTTTGAGCAGCCTCAGGGTGGACTGTGACAGCTTTCTGTGGAGCACCGAGTCACATCAGTCTT